GAGGGGGAGAGGGGGAGGGAGAGAGAGAGAGAGAGAGAGAGAGAGAGAGAGAGAGAGAGAACAAGAGAAGGCAAGACACCAGAAGACACTCAGAAAATACTGACACCTGTCCTACCTTGTAGGGCTATGGATGAAAGAATATGAATGAAATCATATATGTGATTCATGCGGAAGGCAGAAAGATCTCAAAATGTTAATTTTATTCTTCTTATTGTAAACATTCTGAAGTCAAACCCTGGCTAATATTTTATTGCCACTCATCTCCACAGATAGAAAAGTGATATATTTTTGACTCAGAACTCTCAAAATGCAGAAATCAAGGCTCCAACCTGGGAAGGAAAATAAAAGAAGTAAAGTGTTTAACATTTTCTGCTAGTAAAAACTGAAAAAGGAAAATAATGGGATTATTTGGATTAACTGAAAAGGAAAGAATACTCCTGCCTAGAATATTCAAATAAATATAAATATTGTCTCCTTTACCATAAGCTCGCTTATCTTACTGCACACCCCACTTTACGCATGCTGCTGAATGTCTGAAGCACAGTGGCAGAGCACTTGCCTACTATGTACAGGGCTCTGGGTTCAGTCCCCAGCACAGCAAAGAGAAGGACTATTTCACCCTCATAATTACAGAGAGAGCAAGGCTTGCCTTTCGTGGACTTACACCATCAGAAAATTTTTTTTACAAAACCCCAAAAGAGCCAGGAAATGAACACACTCAAAATTCAAACTCTTTTCTCAAATGGCATACATTTCTACATGAAACACCAAAATATGAGTTAAATACACAAGGGTCAGAATAAATATTTCTTCCATGACTGGTGGCCAAACTCTTCTTGCATGCAAGAGAGCTTTCTGAACTCCAATATGATTCCTCAGGAGTGATAAGTAATCGAGTAACAATGTTAAGTTTTCAACATGAAGTATCTTGGCAATAAAAACAGACAGTTAATTCTACTTAGAAGTAAGGGCAGCCCTGCCAGTGTTGCTCCCAAATGAGGTAATGTCCATAGTTCTTATCTGGCCTTTATTGAGATTTAATGTCATTTACCCTTGGCTTTTATGAACCTGCTGCATAATCTCACCTTTTCTAATGTGTGTTATTTCCATCCATTTCAACATTGCAATTATGAACCTCTGGTTTTGAAAATGATTAAGAAATGAATCCCACATGTTCTTTTTTTTGCAAGTCCTATAATTTGAGTCTTTCTTCGACAATCAGCATATTTCTTGTTTTTAAGGTATACTATAGAAACACTCTTGAGTTTTGATTTATTTATGTAAACATTTTCAAAGAAGTCAAAATGTATAATTCAAGAAAATGTTCTGTGAAAGAATTTGTTTTCTGATTACAAAATGATTTCCTGCTTTTAGAAAAAAAAAAAATTTTATATTTACTTAGCTGGCTCAGAAGGTCCCATGGAGATTATCATTCCTTTCAATTCCTAACATCACTTTTCCAGGTGCAGACTTTTACTGGTTTCAAAGGTAGCTTTATGTTGAGAGGAAATCTACAAGCTGTACAAGGGAAAGAGAAAAGAGCCTCCCAACCTAAACCCTTATGCTTTCTCCACAAAGAACCACAGGGTGAAACAAAGCCCTTCCAACACAGATGTGACACTCAAAGGAACACGACAGGAAGATTTTGCACAAGTGTTTGGCTTCCTTTTTTCAAGCAGGGTAAAACAACCTTGATAAAAGCAGGCATGTGTTTGACAACAGAAATAAAATATCTAACATCCACACTTCTGGCATTTTTTCCAAAAGCCCTTCATGTCACCAACATTTTGGAAGGAAAGCAACAACCACACAATCCCAGCGCTGAGGAGGGATAATTTACCTTTCCACAGAGTTTCAACATATAGCAGACAAAGTCAATTTGAGACTATCAAAGGCAGCCCAGAGACAGAAAAGATTATGTACGTGTGATTGCTGGGTAGGCTGGTGAAATGCAGCCAGGCTGTCAGTGATGTGGGGGCCAGGGGGTGCAGGAGACTGGGCACTTGTATGAATATACAAACGGGGAAAGAGGGCAGAAGCAATTCAACCACACCACTTTTGACAAAGATCATGCAAGAGTGGATTGTCAACAAAGACAATCTGAAGGCAGGCCCCTCTGACAATATGGGCTTTCATTCTAACTCCACTGCAGCGCATACTTTGAAAACCCTGTTCTGCATCTCTTGTTATCACCAGCCCCTTTCCTTCAAAGCAGCAGCAGAGTCTGACAGGCCCAAGAGTACTAACTTCCCTAAAAAATTTTCTGATGGTGTTTTCCCTGTGTTTTCAATATATTGTGTTTTATTTTCTCATTAAATATTGATAGGCAAAATCTCCTTGGGATCTTTAATAACTTTCAAGAGTGTAATGAAGTATTGATACCAACTGAAAACTATTAGACTAGAACTTCAAACCTACCAAAACCTGTAGCTTGCACCTGAAGCCTTTCTCTATGATGTTCCCTCTGCAAAGGAGATTCCCTCACTGTGCATGGCTAATTTCTTCTGGTGCATGCGTGGTTTTTCCAAGACAAATCAGGTGGCCCTGCCATGTGCTCAGCTGGCACTTAGCACACTATGATGTGATTTTCTGGTCATTTTTTAATCCTTGTCTCCTCCTTGGCTAGGATTCTCTGTTCTGATTGTGACACAACAGTATGCAGTAGGCCAGTAACTAGCTGCTGGATATATAAAACAGGCAAGGAAGGAAGACAAGAAGATGAGTTCTTCTTGTATTCTCACCTATGGGGAATTAGCTACTATAAAAAGACTATAGTTTTTGTTACAGAATAAGATCATTAAAATTAAATAATAATTATATAACGTGTACCAGGTTCTTTTCTCAGCACTTTATATACATTAATTAATTTAGTTTTCTTAAAATCTCTATGAAGCATACATCACTTTTTGTTTTTCTGCTTGTTTTGTTTTGAGATAGAGTCTTGCTATACAGTTCAGGCTGGCCTCAAACACATGGTGATCCTCCTGCCTCAGCCTCCCAAGGACTGCGATGACAAGGATGCGCCACCATGCCCAGCTGAAGTATACAGCACTCACTGTTACCCTGATTTCAAAAAGGAAGACACAGATGCACAGGTAGAAGGGCAGATTCATATTGTGGCAGGCCAGCTTGAGGCCCACCCTGGGGCTCCTCTACCTGCTGCCTCCTGTGTCGGTAACACGGACCTCGCACTTGCCACAGGACTGGGCCAACTCTCAACCTTTCTCATAAACCAGGACAACGACCTGACCTTTCAATCCCATCTCCAGTCCCACTCCATGTGGGACCACAACAGCATGTGAAGTGAAGATCTCACCAACGCCACAGTCCCTAAAGGGGTTTATATAGGACAGTCTCAGTAAGAAGTCCTTTTCCCATTATTCACCGTACTTGTTTTTTCTTTATGTTAACAATAAATTAATTTGTATATTTATTCAAAATAAATCTCTCTTCCAAAGTACAGAGAAAACAGGAAAGAAAGGTTTGTGATTTCCATATACTGTGGCTCTGTACTGTGGAGGAACTCTCCCTGACGAGTCTTCTTTCCCGTCCTCCTGGGGAAGCTGCTCTTAAGGAAGGCTCACAGCTTCACCCTGGACAGAAAGTGGTCTGTAGGCATACTTAATATGGAAAAGTATGGTACAGAATACACAGGGATTAATGCAAAAGATAATCTGCCATAGTCACAGTGTAATACAGTAGTCACATTTGAAATGAAAAAAGCATAAAAGTAACCTTACATACCTGGAGAAGGGTCCCATGAATATGGTTTTGCCGGAAACACTGGTCAGTGCAGTTAGGCAGTGTGGCCAGCAGGGCTCGGATAGTATTGGGGACCTGGTCTATCATGACAAATGGGACCAAGGCACGAGCTGCCATTTCCCGGGAGCGGTAGACAGGTGAGCGACTGCACCTAGGAGGAAATAAAAATACAAACCCATTCAGTGCTCATCTCCGCATCTGCACCTCTGTACACATGGATGTCCTACCTAGCCTGGCTCAAATAGGCTTGGGGTGGTGGCAGGAGGTACTCCTTCGGCCAAATGTTTTCTATAAAATAGTTCCTATTCGCAAGTGCAAGGACCCAAGTTCAATCCCTGGCACCAAAAAAATAAAATTAAATTTAAAAAAAAATTCCTTTATTCCAAATGATGTTCTTTCGTATTTATATTAGTTCTACAGGTAACTTTGTTTTTTGAGAAAACACAATTACAGGAGCCAGGGATGTGCTTAGTGGCACTGCACTTGCCTGGCAAGTTCAAGGTTCTGAGTTTGATCCCCAGTATTAATAATTAATAATAATAATAAATATATAATAATAATACATAGTAATAAATTACACGCTTTAGTATAGGAGGGCCCCTGCCAATGTACTAATGTCCCTGTATTGTAGCAAAGTCCTGTTAAAATAAAGACCTATATATCTGCTTGTGATTCATTTCTTGGGCTCTAAAGTCTTACAATTATACATGTATTCAAAAGTCTGATCCTGTGTAGTATGGGCCAAAAAATTTATATGTAAATTATATATACTATATAATAATAAAATATATATGTGTAATCTATAATTCCAGCATGAGGTTAAATGTAGACAAAGTTTGGAAAAAATAAAATAAACTGGTAGAGGCAAAAATGGCTTACTCTTCAACAATGAAAAGGTATTTATTGGGTGCTTATGATAAGCAAAAATACTGCGAAGTTGGGTGTGGTGGTACATGCCATATAATCCCACCAAATGGAAGGCTGAGGCAGGAGGATGGCCATGAGTTCAAGGCCAGTCTGAACTACAAAGCAAGACCCTGTCTCAAAAAACCAAAAAGAAAGAAAGGGTGGGGGGGGGGAAGCAGCACTGTGATATGTGCTGTGAAAAGTAAGATCTCCACCTTTGTCTCTGAGGAGTCCATACTCTAACTAAGATGAGGAATACCTCTGAAAATATGACCAAGAGCACAAGATCATATAGAGAAAATGATAAACAAGTAATGTTGGCATTATAGCTATAGGAAATCAGAAGAAGAATAATGGGGATCAGGAAAGCATAATGTAAACAGTACAAGAGAAAACAGAAAGATGTTAACCAGGGTTGATAGTGTAAAGCAAGGGCAGAAATGCTCAAAGTACAGGGAGATGTATCTTACTGCAGCAGAGACTAAAGGCTAAGAGTAGAAGTTACAGCTGAGAGTCGGTCAGGCCTCAAGTCCTTGCCTTTGGAATGACTTACACCCAAACAACTGGAATAAAAGCTGGTTCTTCAATAAGTGAAAGTCATCAACCAGTGGCATTTTGAGATTCCAGAAAGGTCACTGGAAAGGCTGGTCATCTAAGGACCTCTTGACTTTGTAAACACCCTGAACCTGAGAGGCCACAACCATTTTGTTGAAGTTGTGTGCTAGAGAATCGTCAAAGGCATGGGACTGAAAGTTTGAGAGAGAAGTCCAATACAGCAAGGCTTAGCTTAAATAAAATCTTGACTAGAACTTTCTAGACATGACCTTTTATCCAATTAAAAAAGCAACTGAACTTACAGAAATGTCTTGGATACCAAGACAAGTCAGGAAGATCAGAACACAGACTCAGTGGGGGAAAGGTATAGCCTTGGAACTTTTTTCAAAATTAGTGTTCCAAGAAGGAATTATTGGTAAGATGTGATCCACTAGGACCACTTGGACATATAGCCTTAGCATGCACAGACAGAGCCCTTTGACTAAAATGCTTCTAATCCCATAGAGGTATCAACAATATTTTTCTTAGCACAACAATAAATACAGATGCAATTTCTGCATATGAAATGACCTGAGCAGAATTTCATCATGCTTTGGTGGGGAGGAGGAAGTAGGGAGAGGAGGAGAGATACAGAGCATGTGACAGTATTTGTTGGCTTTCCTCAAAGATGGGGAGGTCCATTGGTAGCTCTGTCACACACAGGTTCAAGAAGTGTTCACATCACATCATCCCTTGGGAAAACACTGAGCGCTAAGGTTATAGCAGGGAGTTAGAGAGCTCTGACTGGTCTTTGCCTAAGTAGCAAAAATTCCACCCATTTTTTCAATTATATGGCTTTTAAAATGATTAAATCTTTAATCTGTAATTAGTAAACACAATAAAATGTTTGCTTTGGCATATGGGGGGAGAAATTTTATTGAACAAAGAAAAGAAAATACTCTGAAAATGTTTTGTGATTTAATTAGCGAATGACCTCACTGGCACAGCCATTCGTTGGAAGCTTCCCTGCTGTCCCCCAGCCCTCAGACTCATATGCTTTGTGTTATATGTCACTGAAAGGACTTGTATGTAAATGTTTCCCTTCAAATACAAATGACTCTGACATGGTTACAGATATTTAGTTTCCAATTAGCAGTACCCATACATGAAAAAATGCCCCCTCCCCTTTTACTCCTGACCTTTTGCAAATGATGATTTCCCAAAAAAATCTGGCATCAATATAGGAGAAAGAATGGAAAATGGGAAAAGTGCTGGAATGTTCTACTTTTGGATACCCTGTGTTAGGGTACTTTTTAAACCCACACAACCAGGTTAAAAAGCAAAATGAAACCACTTCTCAAAAAGTCATTTTGAGAAATGCAATTGTCAAAGAGCAGAGAAGCAAATTTTTAAAGCAATATTTAACTAAATAACACTCATTATAAAACAACGGTTAAATGAGATTTCAAATGCCATTTTAGTTCAAATTGTTTAAATGGAAGGTAGATGATGGCTGAATTTATACATACACATGCATATACATGTATGTGTTGTATATATAATACACACTAAGCTGAATCACATTTTCACGTTACTGTTTTGAGAGCTGTTGGGGTGGGGAGGAGATGTGATGAGACCCCTGAGAACCTAGTGACTACCAGGATAGAAAATTGACAATGTCTGGGTTTTTGTTCTGCTTTGGACAATGAGTATGTTCTACACCAGTGGTGGCAAATCTATGGCATGTGTGCTGCAGCAGGCTATTTTATCATTGAAAGCTCTAAAAGGTTTGTCATCACTGTTCTAGAAAATCTTTTAGTACTGCAGGTCTCTAAATGGCCCCAAGGAGAGAATTAAGATCATGGGTAAATTCTGCAAGGTGATAAAACAACTGATGATATTTAGACAATTTGAAAGCAAGCAAGTTTTTTTTTCCTCCTCTCTTTTCAGTGCTGGGGATTGAATCCCGGGCTTTGCATATGCGAGGCGGCACTCTACCACTGAGCTGCAACAGGTTCTCTTTTTAGCTTCTATTGAAAGTAATAAGCAAGAGCACCTAGCTTTAGAAAAGCAAACAAATTTGCGGTCTTTGAAGCCCATTTCTCACCTTTTTCTCTCCCCTTTGGTATTTGGGATTGAATCCAGGGCCTTCATACAGAGCTACATCCCCAGATCTTTTTTTATTTTGACACAGGGTCTCACCAAATTGCTAAGTTGCCCAGGCTGGGCTTGAAAATGTGATTCTTCTGTCCTAGTCTACAGAGTACTGGAATTAAAGACACACACCACCAACCTTGGCTCATTTCTACTTTTATCCTCCTTTGAAAAATCATTTTTTAAGTAATCTTATGTGTGTGCTAGCCCTCCACAGAACCTACAAGACATGAAGATCCTAGTGCTTTTAAATCTCTAGCCTCTCTAATAAAATTGTTATTTTATTTAATTTTTGATGTGGGGTCTCACTATGTTACCCAGTCTAGGTTAAACTCCTCACAAGTAGACAGGATTACAGAAGCCTGGCTCCATGTTCACTTTAATCACATATTTAAGTCACACAATGTCAAACACATTGTAAGAGTAATACTTGCATCCTACAGTTGACAGCTGTTGGCAATTTATAAACGCTTGCATGCCTGTGATCTCTTTGCTACAAACCTGTAAGACAAGAGGGCATACTACACCTTAAGCAACAAATGAAGCTCAGAAAGACTAAATGTGTCCCTCCAGGACGTGTGGGTAGCACACCCACATCAGAATTGCGTCCATGGCTCTAAGATAGAGCTCTTTGGCCACCCTAATATGTTGCTCACACCTGGAAATGGAGGAACTACAAAAGCATCTCCCAGCTAATAAAAAATATTCATTTACAAGCATGTGGGAAATCTCTAAGTTTTTTATTTGTTGTTGTTTCTATTAACACTTTCAGAACCATGAAAAAATCTGAGAATCTAATATAAACTATACACATTCACCCAGGAGAAAGAGATTAATGAACATATACACATAATTTCAGGAGATTCATAGCACACATTTCAGCCAGTGAGCCATGCTTCCCAGATCCAGGTAAACAACTTTGCACACCCTGGATAATGCCCAGGGAGGTGGTCAGGGATGCACCCTGCTTCAGGGCAGACAGTGATGGATGGTTAGGAGACTGCCACTGGGAATCACCAACTTAGGGGACATACGCTATGTGCACATCAGTGGTAGCACAGGCAGACTACACAGTTGTGCAGTGGTACACAGGGGAAGTGGAATGGAGGAGGCTCTCTGGAGAACACAAACGACATTAGAACAAGGGTGACATACACACCCATGGACCTAATACTTCATCAACCAAGACAGCCAAGGTTGAGTACTCTGAGCAAATGAGGACCATTCTACTGAGGCCATTTTGAGCTCACCTCCTTTCATAGAGCAGTTCCTGAGCATTTTTCAGAATTTCCTCCATATATTTATTCTCAGAATTTCCATTTGCCTTAAAGGTTAAGTGTCCAGATATCATCACCAAAACTGCCCCCCAAACCAGAGGGGCTTCTGCTGAGTACAAGCACATACTGTACACATGCTGTGCCAGGTACCACAGCATCAGAGTAAAAAGCCACTGCTTAGTCCACAAGGGACATTTAATCCAGTGGAGAAGTTGGGAAATTGATCAATGATTCTCAGGGCCATGGAAAGTAAACACAAGGGGTCGTAGGTGCGACACCT